CTATTCCGGTGAACCTTGTACGAGGCAGAGGTTCTTCTCCAACGATGTTAGAATTTTCTCGATTTATCTTCAAAGTCCAGTGTCTGTAATTCGCGGGCTCGCGTTGTTGTTTCATCATCTGCGATACCGGTATCGATCGCGAATATAGAAGAAAGTATCGCGTCGTAGGGAAAATTGCACTGGAATTATCTGGTCTCGGGCAACAGCAAATTCCAAAGGAAAAAGAAGAAAGAACAGAAATGCCCCTCGATGTTCGAACGTCTAGTTTCGTTTCATTGGACCGACTAAAATAAATACACGTTGCTGATCAGAGGAAGTGTGCACTGTGCGACTGCAGCCTTAATCAATCTTATCGTAAGTATGGCAACACTTTGCCATACTTACAAACGGATGAAAGCCTGACCACATGTAGTCTGTAGTAGATTACGAGGTATCGTTGTTGCTGCGACGTAAAGGGAACAAAGGAAATGTTTACAGATAAAATTTTAATCGTGGATATTAGCGTATCAGCGTTCATATCAGATGAGATATCTTAACTTAGTATCTTAATATAATACGCACATGTACACCAGTCTCTTTTCGATCCTTCGCTACGAAATTTTAGCTACGAAAATTTATCATCCAGCTATGTTTAATTGTTCAATTGTTTTCTACGTCAACGCGTCTACGTAGATGTGGAAAAACGTTCACCACGTTTATTGCACGATAGATAGGTATTAACGTATTTGGATATAAAAATAAATCAAAAATATGGGATAGGAGTCTTCGTGAAAATCGTTTTCTTTTTTTTTAAATTTCGTTTCTAAAATTCTTTCGAAAGCTTTATTTATAGAAAGTTGTTGGAAGAGAAACTCGTTTCGAAAATTCTTCTTTTATCTTCTATTTCGGGAATTCGCCGCGATGAATGGAGTAGCTGATTAGCAAAGATAAAGAATGCGTACGCGTTGACAGAATTGTCGCGTCATTTCTACATTGCTCGTGCGTACTTGCACGTTTTACGTCATACGTCATGATATCTCCCATATTACATTTTACGCTATTCAATGAAAATCCGTTATTATTACACTTTTTACACGCGGCAAGTTACATTAAGCAGCTTACAAAGACGAATTAATATAATTATAAATTTATTCGTTTCTATTCTGTTTAGTGAATTTTCATTATCTATATGTATTGTAAAAGATTTATCTCAAATATTATAATTTTTTTTTAAGTTTAATACCATATTTAATATCTATAATTTTTTTTAGATTATTTCCATATATTTTTCCATCAACTAGACAACATTTATTATTTAATTTATCTTTATCTTTATCTTTAACTTTACGATTAAGATTCTTTTTATTTTCATTATTTAATTATCCTATTAAATTTTTTGTACATTTCCTTTCTCGCAATTCTCCGAAATTATTACATACATTTTATAGTAACTATTGAATTGATTCGATGTATAATCCGTATGACCATGAACATTATCAATTCGATTATCATCAAATTTAATTTCTGGACATTTGATCGTAATCATTTAACAATACCGAAACAATTTGATTCTTTTATTTCTCGCCATCTACTTTCAATTTCAAGTTGGATCAACTAACGTAAAAAAAAAAAATCATTTATGCATTTAGAACAGATATTGAACAAATCGTATATACATGGTGTACCTTATGGACGCATGGAACGTAGGTGGGGATATTATCAATATTGCTCGATATTGGTATATATGATTGGCTCGATGATTGGCATTGAGTATTTTATCTGCACTGCAATGTCTCGTGAATCATGCGCGCATTACTACGGAAATTTCTCAGCTTTGTCTCAGCGGTACAATTCGAACAATTGGATTGGATTTATATACAACAGTGTGTATGGCCAATCACGTTGACGTGTTGGTTAATTTTCGATAATTTTAGAATCGATACGGATGCAAACAAAGGATTTGAACAATTTGTGGTAGCGGTTAGTACCACTAATACTTATTAAAGTATGTCTAGCTTCGTTCAATAAAATCAATTGGAAATGTCACGGCCAGATACTTGGATAGGCGATGAAACAGAAAGGAAATTCATTGGAAAATGAGACACGTAGCAACGGGTTACTACGTACGTCATTTCAAGTCGAAGAAGGATGCAGCTAAGGATTAGTAACGTGATGCATCATGCGTGGTAGTTGCTGCTATAAAATTATCATTTCATTTATTATGAATTTTTATATAGCCCATCTAAAAAAAAAAAAAAAAAAAAAAAAAAATCACCGAATCATAAAGCGAGATAAGATTAAAGTGGTCGTTCGACGCTTGTACGTGTTTTGGAATTTGGTTATTTAACAATTTCACGCAACAATAGGAATAGGAATTCAGTTTATTTGGTTTTACGTTGATGAAAAGGTATTTCACTCGGTCGAGGAAATAATTATCTATTTACACGGCTGTTCCGTATAAAGATGACTCGCCGCTCCCACCACTGGCAGATGGTGAATAATCTTTTGCTCGAAATACGAGTAATTTATCAACCCAACTTATGAAACGTCGAAACGTTTTCATTGTTCCTCAAACGAAATTAGTTTTGAAACAAGTTTCTCAAAATACAATCCGCAAACTGAGAAGAAGAACGACCGTGTTCGTATTAACAGACAGTGCACGCAAGCGCGCATATACGTATGTGTGTGTATGTATGTATGTCGACATCGCGTCAGCGTCGAGTTATCGCAAGGCGCAAAGGCTCGCAGAAAACGCCTTTAAAGATACGTGTGCGTACCACTTTGATGTTGAAAAGCGACGGGAGGAAGCGTTTAACTTGCACCGCTGTTTTGACGAATACGTCGTCGAGCGAAGCCGCGTTCCCATAACTCATCTCTCTTACACGATGACTGCTACACTCTGCAACGATCGCCACCGATCACTGGTCACTAAACGTCTCTACACGCTACACGTGATGCCTCTTGAAAGAAAAAACTGTGCAAACGTGCGTGATTAGAGAGGCAAATAATTTAGACTAGGAAACTTAGGGGACTATGTTGTTATTCGTTTTACCTTTACTTGCGGGTATAGAACCGCTAACAAGTTGACTAGTTCGGAGACACGAAGAACTGAGCTGGTTCGCTCCTTTCACCCTTACCTTACCTATGCATCGTCGTACCATACATGTTTCGTCACGCAACTGAACCAAGCTGAACGCGTCATAATGCGCACGATTGTTGTCCTGTGGAATGTTCCCCTTCTGACATGTTGTTGACGTCCAACTGTCTGCCGTAATTTAGGCGGTTGGGTTGTCAAATTCGTCAAACATGTCGTACGTACACGAGAAGGCGTGCATGCAAGTATAAATAGACTTGGTTACGACTCGTCTCTCTGCGTTTGAATCGATTCTATTGGTGGAGGCTATTCTCGCCGCGCGCCCTGTGCTTGCATCGACTGCGGCTTGCGTACTCGACTTAACGAGGCGCGACAAGTGCGCCATCTGCGGAACACGTCGCGAATTAACGCGCAGCAGCGCGAGTTTTTAAACTCGAAATGCGTCACCTACATTGAATTTCCAACGTTGTTGCATAATCGATGCGACCAATTATTATAGCGACTTTATCACGCAAAACGCGAATACGCTTGATATATCGATATACTCACTTCCGGTTTCGATGCTGCTTGGCGTACAATCTCTGGTTCGACCACTTCTGCTTTCCATCCGTAAGAAGAGCGATTCATTTTGCTTCAGTTGGCACGACTTTATCCTGTAATTATTCCGTTTGCTGTCGCAGTGTCCTGGTGTTGGACACTTTGCAAAGTTGAATGCAAAGTCGATGCGCGATCGAGCAGCACGCGTCGCAACAACAAAAATGATCTTTAACGTATTGTTGTAAACGTATCTGTTTGACGAGAGCCGGAATAAATAGCGTCAACTGATAGCAGCGTCCTTCTAAAACTTTATTGCCAATGATGATAACATACTAATTCGAGCACCGGTGCGCTCGTGTACTTTGATCACACCGACCTAATTCACCTAATTCACTGCACGTATATGTCGGAAATGCACATGGTTTTCATCATTTTTAACGCCACTCGATGAATTCTCGCACAATCTCCTCAGTTTCCGCACTTTTCGCAGAGACAGCCTGGCACTCGCCCGTATCACTGAACTTTGGGTTTCCAATTAGCGTTCAATGTCGAACGCTTGTCACGATAATGTGGCGTACGAGACGAATGACTAACCGGAATGTTCAACCGCCGTATGTACATATACGTATATCCTGAATATCTCGTGACTACGCCTATATAATTCACCTGTTATGTACTCTTGTTTTCATTACAGTTTCGTAACACTTTGATGGTTTCAAAGCACGAAGAAACCGTTCCTTTCGGTCTCGCTTCAAATTTAATACTATAATATTGTTGGACGTATTGATTCGAAACGTAATCGATCCTTCAAATTACAATAATATCGTTGATTACAATAATCAATAATTCACAAGTATTTAGAGGTAATTTTCTCGACGTGACCTCGTTTTTCTGTTTTTAATTTGCTGGATAAATTTCAAAAAGAAAGCAATTTGCCTCGAAAGAGAGAGAGAGAGAGAGAGAGAGAGAGAGAGATACGTAGAGATATAGGTAATTTAGAAACTCACCGATAACTGGTAATAACCATCAGAGGATAATTGAATTTTTATTGTCCAACGATTAGAGAGATATCTTGCTTTCGACTATATACTATATAAGGAATATCAGGTGAAAGTGGTGGGCCTCGACGATGCGTCATAAATACATATTGTTCCAAATTTGGTCGAGTATATTACTATCGCGACGTTGATCTGTACACCAATAACTTTTGCATTTCTCTGTTTTTCCTTTTTCCCTTTTCTTCTCTTTCTTACGCGATTGATTGCAAGGACTCAAAACTATGGAAATGATAAGAAAAGCGATTCTGCGATTCTGCGATTGTCTCAAACGATATTTACTTCGGCGATAGTATTACTTATTCTAACGACGTTCTACAAGAACGTAGAAATTTACTGCCGAAACACTTGCATCGTAGAAATCAAGATATCCTTCTATTGCCGTTGGGCAATAAAAATTCAATTATCCTCTGATGGAGTTATTACCAGTGAATCGGTGAATTTCTAAATTCTCTACATATGTGTTATAAATTAAAAAACGTGTTGAACAGAGACAGAGAACATTGATTGGTAGTCACACCCTTTGGTAGTGTCACTCGACATGTCGAGGTCAACGTGTAAACGCACAATTCTCACCCGCTGTATTCTCCGATCGACCGATGAAATTCAATATTCTCCTCGACGATATTCTTCCGGCGTGGAAAGCCGATGGAAAAATAACGTAAAAGAGAGAAAAAATAAAATTTTTTGATTTGTGTATTTGAAATTGAAATTTTTCGTTTGTATTATTTACTAGTGATATTATTTACGAAAACGTGAATGAAACGTAAACGAAAACGTTGAAGTTCCACGAGGAGGAATTCACTTGGGAAGCTTCCACCAAGCTTCGCTTGGTTCTGCGAAGCGAGAAATTTGGTCACGATCGAGCGAGGCGAACCGTGTTCGATATTCAGAAATGCTCGCGAAACACTGACACTTTTCTCGGCGGAAAGATGCCTGGAATGAACGAAACGATGTCCTCCTCCCCTCCTCGACCAACGATGGCGCAGTGTCGCGTCGCGACGCTCGGCTATTCCACGTGAATTTTTGAATATTTCAAAGAATAAGTGCCATGTACACGCGAATGCCATACTGTTTGCAATTTCCCTATTTCATCGAGTTCTCCTTCGTTTGTTTGCCCCTTTTAATCGATCTAGGATAAAATTACATTGCGAACAAATAGAAAAACAAGTAGTATATAATCTGGTATTTATCAGACTGTTTAACTTTTCTCGTAATTGACAAACGTGCTTGCTTGCTTGCTTGCTTGCTTGCTTGCTTGCTCGCTCAGTTATCCGAGTATCCGTAAATCGATCGTTATTGTTTTATTGTTTAATTGTATCTTACGATTAGACGAAAGTTGGTCAAGTATCAAAGAGAAACGACTGTGCGTATATAATGATATATTACCTAGGTACGCGTGCCAAGCGAGAATAACGAATAATCACGTTTTCGCAATCACGTTACTGGCATGCTTTTAATTAAAAATAAAATTTCATTTCCGTGATTTAAACGATGTCCACGTACATATTATCGTAGACACTTTTGTCTGTGCAATAAATTTTGGCATTACGTATGTAATGTCGATGAAGTATGCATTAAGTAAGATGAAGCAACGTGGAGTAACGAGAGACGATCGATCGAATAATCTAGAGTCTAAAGTCTAGAGTGATAGATTAATATATTTGAACGTTGTATGGTGTTGCGGCTGGTGTGGTCGCCATCTTGGATAGAGATGAAACATGGTTGTTAAACAGCGCTAGTAGTTGTTTGGGCAAACACGAGGGGATATTTCTGCAAGAGCAAGTCGGCGATTAAAATTAAAATTAAAGATGAGGAAACTCGAACGTCGAAAGATAGTAGGCGAAACGCGGCAGCTGCAGGAAAACTGGGTAACAACCTTGGCGAGATGGGGGACTAAAAATATGAATTTTGTTTCAAGACGCCGTTCTAGAGGCGGCGTGTACGAGGGGATTCGTTTTATGTCGAGGCTAAATTTGGCACCGTTCCAAATGCTCGAAAGAAAGAGAAAAGAAAAAAAAAAAAAAGAAAAAGAGAAAAAGAAGAAAGAATTTCCCCCTACTAACATTAGAGGAGCATAGAAGAGTCGAGCGCTGAGCGCGTTGCGTCGCGTCGCGACGGATCGTCTTCGTGGCCAGATTTTAATTCTCTCCACTCGCAGTGTGAATAGGTAAATAATAATAATCGAA